TAGCTGGTGGCTATCTTAATGGATCGTGCAGGTCTACTGCCCATAATTTTGATATAGTTTTGTTGAGACAGCCCAAAACAAATTTGTATGAACTCTGGGAATTTTTGGTTTCATCTGTAGTCTAAATCATCCATTTGGACTAGGTGTCCAGGATGATTTTATAAACCATAAATCAGTGCTGTACTTAAATGATAAACAGGCAACAGGAAAGCAAAACCAACCAAACAACTGAAGGCAAATTTCAGAGCCTAGGCAAGAAAGCCTTCAGTATTTGAATTTATATTAAAAAGAGTTCTCAAGTTCATATCGCTTTATAAAGCAGATTAGATACAGGAAAGGCTTGTACATTTTTTCTTTTTTTTTTGAGACAGAGTCTCACTTTGTCACCAGGCACCAGGCTGGAGTGCAGTGGCACAATCTCAGCTCACTGCAACCTCCGCCTCCTGGGTTCAAGCAATTCTCCTGCCTCAGCCTCCCGAGTAGCTGGGACTACAGGCGCATGCCACCACGTCCAGCTAATTTTTTGTATTTTTACTACAGTCGGGGTTTCACCATGTTGACCAGGATGGTCTCAATCTCTTGACCTCGTGATACACCTGCCTCGGCCTCCCAAAGTGCTGGGATTGCAGGCTTAGGCTTTGTACTTTTTAAAAGATTAATCAGAAGCTTAGATCCTGATTGTAGAGATTGCTAAACTCTGCGTGGCTTAGTTCACTGTTCTTGATACAGAGGAAAGTTATCACAGCTTAATGCTTTTTCTCTGTTCATATTCTGACTCTGTGATCTATATCTGATTTCTGCTCAAACTTTATGAAGATTACATCAGTGATATACCTGCAGTGTTTTTTTTTTTTTTTTAATACTCCAGTTAACAATCAGATGTGTACTAATGCCAGCTGTTTTCTAACATGACTCTTTGGGGGACTGAGTATAAACTCTCAAGCAAATGGTTGGTTTATTTCTCTATTCTGTGCCGTTTGACTTGTATACAAAAGCAATGATGCTCTTGGTGCATCTTTTTCCAGTAGGTGTCCACAATTTAACCTTTGCGTATATTTTCAAATATAAGTGGGTCTCTTGTCTCCAATCTCTTAGTGCTCAAATCCATTCTCTACATTTCTCCATAGATTTTTTCGAAAGGCGAATGTTACGATACCACTTTTCCCCTTGCTTAAATTCTTCTGGGAGTTGCCTATCACTAACAGAGAGGTAATACAAGCATGGATCCCACTGGCAAAAGGGGTTCAAAACCTGAGATTATTAGCAAACCAAACATTTACCCTAATACTCCCACAAACATGCAAAAGTAAGCCCTACCCACAAGTCAGGGGAGAGATTTAATCTAAACCCAGAAACCTGGGTCCACTGCCCAAAAGGTAGGACTTGCCATGATAAAGAGGGGAAAAGTTTCAACAGTCTGTTCATACCAAAAACACAAGACTGCTGTGGCCAGCTTCCATTCTAACACTCAACAGAAGAATATGTGCTATGGTATGATGTGGAGGTAGCCATGAGGCTCTGGGCTTTTTCTCTCACCATTCTTACTTTATATAACATTTGGAAGGAGATTTAGTTAATTTTAATGAAGTCAGATGACTAGGTCACGGAAGCATATTGAAGAGCTCAAACACTTTTCTATACCAAAGGGCTCTTATACCAATTGATCACATTCCCACTCTAGATGGCTCACTAGATTTTTTTTTTTTTTTTTAATGGGGTCTCACTCTGTTGTCAAGGCTGGAGTGCAGTGGTGAGATCTAAGCTCACTGCAGCCTCTGCCTCCCGGGTTCTTTTCTTCATCCCACCTCAGCCTCCCGTGTAGGCATCGCCACATCCAGCTAATCTTTTTTAGTAGAAATGGGATTTTGCCATGTTGCCCAGGCTGGTCTTGAACTCCTGGCCTCAAGTAATCCACCTGCCCCGGCCTCCCAAAGTGCTGGGATTACAGGCATGTGCCCGGGCCAGATTGCATTTTCTTAACCACAAGTCATCTGAACCTAAAACCAGGGAAAAATCTAAAAAGCAAACTGTTCCTTTTATTTTCACATCTCTTGTAATGTTAGTCTCTTCGTACTGATATCTGAAGGGTTCATTTATGATTAACGATGTTAATGTTTTGTCTAGAATTACAAATATGCTTTTTGTCTTTCATTTTACTGTGGTGGTTTATTTTTTGGTTATGCAGAAGTCATATATTGAAATATGAAATATATCTTGTTTTGTTTTATGAAAAAAAAGCACTGGATTCATTTAAGGAAATAATATGAATCTAAACTAGAAGGTACACGTGGATAGAGACTAATTCTGTATTCCACAAGAGTAGAATGCTAGAAGACGTGTTTTTAAATAACTCTTCCGGTAATTCTGGCATACAGCCACGGTCGTAGGTGTCCCTCAGGGATCTATGACCTTCCTTCACTAATCCCTCCTTTGGCAATTTTATGGCTTTTGGTCTTACATATTATCAATAAGGTAATCATTCAGACATTCTGGATTATTACAAGAAAAAGATCACTTTTGTGGTCAAGTTTGGGAAAGATCCAACAATAAAGAGGTAATCTTACTGAAGTCCTTCTCAAAGCCATATGCACATTCTATACCTCTATGACACTTGGTGAGATTCTCTCTACTCCATTAGCAGGATTGTTTGCATCCAAACTGATCTCCTACCTCCCATACATCACTGCAAAAATGATCAGTATAAGGCACAACTCTACCCTTGGCACTCCTCTACTTATAACCCTTCAATTACCCTTAAATTACAGAGCCAGCTTTAAATTCTCTAGTAGGATCTGGCTTTAATCTTTTCAACTTCGTTTTTCTCTTTTTCATCTGATGAAGAGTATAGGCTTTTAAGTCAGACATTTTTGGGTTTGAATTCTGTTTTGTCTTGGCAAGTAACTCAAATCTTGTTGCATTTACTTATAAATGAAAGATAATACTGCCTCCACCCAAGAAAACTATTTAGAGGATTATAAGGTTGGTTCTCCTCATAGTCTATGTGAAAGAACTTGCTGTCACTTACAGAACACAGTAGTTCTCTAATTTCAGCATACATAATTGTTAGAGGGCATACTACGTACAAAGTGATGCCTGAGTTACACTTTGAACTTGACTTGGTAGGTCTGCATGGGGCTCTAGAAATGCACTGTCCAATATAGTACTCAACGGCCACATAAGGATACTGAGCACCTGAAATATGGCTATTCTGAATTGAGACGTGCTATAAGATAGACACCAGATTTCAAAGACTTAAAATCAGAAGAATAATGCAGGCCAGGAGTGGTGGCTCATGCCTGCAATCCCAGCACTTTGGGAGGCTGAGGTGGGCAGATCACTTGAGGTCAGGAGTTTGAGACTAGCATGGCCAACATGATGAGACCCTGGCTATACTAAAAAGCAAAAAAATTAGCCAGGCCTGGTGGCATGTGCCTGTAGTCCCGGCTACTCAGGGAAGCTGAGGGGGCAGAGGTTGCCGTGAGCCGAGATCATGCCACTGCACTCTAGCCTGGGTGACAGAGTGAGTGAGACCCTATCTCAAAAAAAAAATAAAAATAAAAAAATAAAAAAGGTATTCAATAACTTTAAAATCGATTGTTAGCAAGATATTTTAGATATGTTAGCCTAAACAAAATATATTAGTCCCATTAATTTTACCTGTTTCTTTTTACTTTTTAATGTAGGTACTAGAAAATGTAACATGACATACATGGTTTGCATTATATTTCCCTTGAATAGCACTGATACCAAATCTACATTTTCAACAAGTCCCTCAGATGATTCTCTGGTAGGCATCCTCGGGTCACCTTCTGAGAAACTGCATATGAAATTCTAAGCTCTCTAGAAGAAGAACTGATGCTTTTATACATATATCTTTATATCTTCACAGTGCTAGAACACTGAGCAATTACCCATAAACTGAATTTAGATGTGCTTTTAATATTGAGCCATCACAATTACAAAAAAATTCCTTTTAAAATTTCATTTAATTTTAAACATTTCTTTTTTTTTCTTTTTTTTTTTTTTTTTGGTATAGGTAGGTGTTCCCTATGTTTCTCAGGCTGGTCTCAAACTCCTGGCCTCAAATGATGCTTCCACCTTGACCTCTTAAAGTGTTGAGATTACAAGTGTGAGCCTCCCTGCCTGGCCAAAAAAATTATCACTGAAAGTTTTTTGCTTTCTTTTTCCCTAGTTCCTTAAGAATTATTTCTGATTTGCATTTATTGAATGGAAACAATTCAAACTACAAAACAATTCAAACAACAGCTTTGGTTTCTTCTCCAATCAATAAAATACATGGCTTATTTTCTAGAAGAATTAGGGTTATTTAACTTCATATAGAAATAAACCATTTGACTAGATTCCAAAATTGTTATTATGATATCAAGATATTAACTTAAAACTACTGATTAATATTAAACCAGGAACACACATTAATTTTTTTTTTTTTTTTTGAGACAGTGTCTCTGTCACCCAGGCTGGAGTGCAATGGCGTGATCTTCGCTCACTGCAAACTCCGCCTCCCAGGTTCAAGCGATTCTCCTGCCTTGGCCTCCTGAGTGGCTGGGATTACAGGCACCCGCCACCACACCCAGCTACTTTTTGTATTTTTAGTAGAGACAGGGCTTCATCATATTGGCCAGGCTGGTCTTAAACTCCTGACCTCAAGTGATCTGCTCACCTCAGCCTCCCAAAGTGCTGGGATTACAGGTGTAAGCCACCATGCCTGGCCCACACACTAATTTTTATACCATAGAAATTTAGCCGGATAAGGACAAAAAGAGACATATCTGAGAAAAGTGGGTCTCCATACAGGGATAAATGAAGTGAAGATGGCTGAGTGCCCTGAAAGAAGAGAAAGGAAAACTAATGCTTTCTAAAGTTAACATCAGGATACGAAGTGTTACTTTAATGACTGTGAGACAAAAACTAGTATAAAATTAGAAATAACTTTTAAAGATTATTTGGAAATAATTTTCAGTAATGATTTTTCCACTTACCTCATTGCCACATTGCTGCCATCAATAACTACTGGTCTCAGATTTTCACCATCATCTGTTACAATCTCTTGCATTGGGGATTCAGACCTCTGAGATTCCAGGGAAGAAGTTTCCCGTGTTACAGTGTTAATCGTACTAACTGTTTGATCAGCCTCACTTTTATTTCCAAGTTTGACAAGTTCTCCCAAAATATCATTGATTAAAGCATCAGTACCAAGTTTGTTTAGCACAAGCTGAACCTGTTCTTCAGAGTAACCTAACTTAAGTGCAAACTCCAGTTTTGTTTGGTATTCTCGCACCACATCGGGCGGTTTCTTCGCTTCCTTGGATGTAGCCTGGGACTCATCAGGTTTAAAGTCTTGCAAAATTTCATTGCGCTTGAGTATGTGAGGCTCTAAACAGGGAGACCTGCAGAGTTGCCTGTGAGTCTTAGTTAATAAGCCTGGCTCTACTGAAACGCTACTCAACTGTACTGACTCATGATCAGAATTTGTGTTTTCTTCAGAGTCACCAGAGCTTGCATTCTCTTCAGACACCTGTTTTTCATCCTTCCCTGCATGAACAGTCTCCATAGCTGGTTTTTCTACTGCTGACCAAGGCACAGCTGCACTTAACTGTGGGTCGGTGCTCTCCACATAAAGGTGGCTGAGGTCATGCACTAGGTGATCCTTCAAGCCCATGAAGCTGTTACGTGTACTTGACTCCACTTTGCTGTTTTTTCTGTATTCCTGAATGCAGAGCACCCCGTATTCCTAGAGAAAAACGTACAATGTTTAGAATTTCATAGTTATGGCTTGATTTCTGCCTCAATGGAGAAGTCAGAAGAGAAATACTCAACTACTGAATATCTAGTAACACTTCGTATTTCGTCTACATCCTCTCCCCCAACACCCTTGCCAAGAGAGTGCCATCAGCCATTTTTCAGATGAAGTTATGAATTAGAAATAAATGAAGTGATTTATTTCTTCATTCCTCCAAGGCAACAAAGCAAATAAGTACAACTGGATTTTTTACCCAGTTTTATCTGACTCTAAAACCCATGTTTTCTTTTCTTTCTTTCTTTTTTTTTTTTTTTTTTTTGGAGACGGAGTTTCGCTCTTGTTACCCAGGCTGGAGTGCAATAGCGCGATCTCGGCTCACTGCAACCTCCGCCTCCTGGGTTCAGGCAATTCTCCTGCCTCAGCCTCCCGAGTGGCTGGGATTACAGGCACGTGCCACCATGCCCAGCTAATTTTTTGTATTTTGAGTAGAGACGGGGTTTCACCATGTTGACCAGGATGGTCTCGATCTCTTGACCTCGTGATCCACCCGCCTCGGCCTCCCAAAGTGCTGGGATTATAGGCTTGAGCCACTGCGCCCGGCCAAAACCCATGTTTTCTCACTATATCATGCTCCTTCTCAATCTCGATGGATCAGATTTTTCTACTTTTAGGATGGCTTATAATTCTAGTGTGATACCTAGAATATTATCAAAACTCACGTTTTAAATATGCATGACACGTTACTTATATTTTTCTTGAACAGAATTCATAAGTATCTATAAATATACTTTTAAAGAGAAAGCCACATAGAAAGGAAACATTTATACTTGAAAAATCATTAATCTGGATGAAGCTTAACAGCAATCTGAAAAACTTTCAAAAATCATATAGATACTGCAAGGAAAGAGCACATATTCTAAGATGGCCAGAAGGGAATTAAATAATTACAAGATGAGTTAAATTCTTTTTAGCGATGAATACGGTTTTGCCTTACTAATCATGCTTTTTTGACTACGGAACATGGTAACATAATTTCTAAGCATTACGCTATCCTTATTAAGTGCCAGGGAAACAACAGCCTATTTATTTTATTCCAGGAAAAAATAAAAGTTGTTTTATTCTATGTGCACTTATGGAAAGCAGAGATGATATCTCATAAAATTAGCAGCAAACAATTAGGCATATTAAATATATAATATTATCTCAGTTTCTTGAATTTTATGGCAGAAAATATTCCTGTATTTTATCAGATTAACTAGCCATTAATCTGCATTTGCTTAAAAAGTAATCTTTTTTTCCCTATTTTTTCACCATATAGGAATACTTTTACTATTTAAAATTGGTTTGTTTTTTGCCATTTTACAATTTTCCCTTAAAGACTATTGGAAATATTATTTCTCTATTAGGAACGGGTTAGAAAAATAAAACTATTTCCTCTGGTACGTCATTGTAAATTGTAAGGACTATATCCACATCAATAATTTCCTTGTTTTTTTTTTTTGAGATGGAATCTCATTCTGTTGCCCAGGCTGGACTGCAGTGGCATGATCTCAGCTCACTATAACCTCTGCCTCCTATATTCAACTGATTCTCCTGCTTCAGCCTCCCAAGTAGCTGGGATTACAGGCGTGTGCCACGATGCTTGGCTAATTTTTATATTTTTAGCAGAGACAAGGTTTCACTATGTTGGCCAGGATGGTCTTGAACTCCTGACCTCAAGTGATCTGCCCGCCTTGGCCTCCCAAAGTGCTGGGATTACAGACGTAAGCCACTGTCCCTGGCCTCATGATTTACTTATTAAGGCAATTCTAGCGTTCTGGCTAGGTACAGTATTAGCAGGTGAGTGGTAGTTGAATTTGAGACTGCCATAAAATAGCTATTTAAAACTAACCTAAAAAAGAAAACAGAGGAAATGTTTCTAAAGCTCATCAACATCATATTTACACTAGAAAATACCTATTGTACAAATGTTAAAAGAAAATGCTAAGTGATTTTCTGAGAAGTCACAAATTTGAAAGCATACCTGGTAAACTTTAATTAGAGAGTCAAGTAATGAAATAAATTTTATTAACTATGGTAAATACTAGAGAAGATAACATGGAATCTTTAGCTTGATAAAACACTTAAGATTCCTTCAGTGTAGAACTCCCACACACTTCTACAGGAGTTTCCTCAGGGCTTACTCCCTGAGAAGGTAGACAACTTTAATATCATTGCTCTACTAATACAGCATTCATGAGTTTTAAAGAAACATCAAATTCCCCTAGCTCTGGATTGTCCAACTCATAAAAAGAAATATCCCTTAGGAGAGCTCTGTATACATCTGCTTCATTATGAAGCTATATCCATTTCAGTTTTTCCCTATTATATGGATACGCGTGAGCCCAATTATTTAGAATTGAAGGGATTTTAAAAACAGATTTTTACACCCTGTGATTTATTAACTACTGTAATATACTAACACCAGAATGCAAGTAACAAATCACAGCATCATCCTAATAAAGGGATACAGTTAAAAGTCCGCACCATGGTCTTCATGGTGCTCCCACCAAAAGTATCTTAAATGAGGAAAACCTATTGGAAGCTGGGCTGCCTGGCAACCAGAAGCTGGTTGCTAAGCTGCACTCCTTTAACATGCCATCATGAATGCTAGCACAGTGAAAGAATAATTTGGTATGAACAAAAGCCTATAAAAGAGACTGGGACTTAAGTGCGTCTGGTTTACCCTCCGAGAACAATGCAGCTGCCAAACCAATCTGGAAGCTCCGACATCGTTGTTCTGTAAACCCCACAATCTGCTCTGACTGCAGGAAGTGCATTTAATGGGCAACATTTTTGATCTCCCCTGAAAAGTTTGGGTTTTGCATAAGTGCTGTTGTGAGATAATTCTTCAAGATAATGACTTGCTGACCAAATCCCTGAATTGACCTAGGAAATATTTTTTAATATTGAGCAGTTTGGGGTTTTTGTTTTTTTACTATATCAGACAAGATGAATACCTTATGAAAAATACAACCAGTGGCAAATAAGAAAGAAATGTTCTGCTGAAAGGATAAGTGCAATTATTCTTAATTTTCACATTTTTCAAAGAAACAATATCAGATACTGCAGTTTTCAAACTGAAAATTAAGCACTCTAAAAAGTATTTAAATCTTTCTGTATCTTTGATCTAATATTTTTAAAAAGTGTCAGTGAGACTACCTAAACCTGCTATACCATGTAATTTCATTATATGGCTATCACGATACAAGGGAGAAAATGGGATTTTCAGTTTTTTAAAATAACTAAGTCACACAAACCTCATTTGTATACCAATGTATTTAGGGACTTCCACACACTTTTAACATCTGATAATTTATGTAATTTGCACATAATTTTAAATAAAAAGTTTGTAATAAGTTGACTTTTTATTGCTAAGGATAAACATAAGCCTGACCTATTTTTAAAAAAAATTAACATCCAATTTTATTAGGCAAATAAGTTTTGTCTTAAGCTATTCCGCTTGAACGTTTTTCACACTGACAGGCCTCTCTCTCCATCTTCTAGATTTCATTGGTTAGCTCATAGAAGGTTATCCAATGTCATCGTGCACTAAACAAGCACTTCAATGATTTTTGGTCCTTGTAAAACAGGAGACTAAATAGAAACAGTACAAATAGGGACAAACAAGTTCAATTCCCAGGACTATAAGCCATGTATTTACTCTATATTGAAATAACCTGATTTGTATTGATCCAAATGGTAAAGATTTGGTTTATAAAACTTTGATCTGTAGAATGCTTACTTAGCCACTTGTAATTAGCAAATGATTGCCCTTACTTATTAGGGCACTTAAAAACAACCCAGAATTTGGCAATATCTTGAAATCATTCAATAAAAACCTAAATGATAAAGGTTTAAAAACAAGATATTTTAATAGGCTGCTGTATTTGTTAATATAATGAAATATGCAAAACTTACAAGAAATTACTATGAGAAACTTTAGAAGAAAGAATGGTATATAATCTTTATTTTTGTTCAGTGCTTTAAAAATGATTAATATAAACTTTAAAAGGATAAAAAAGACCATTAACAGCACAAAATGTATTATTACATGTAAGATAGAAAATACTTTTCTCCTCATTTTCAAACAAATTATTAAGACTTTTAAGTTTGCATTTACCAAAATGCAAACTCGTATAAACCATCCTAAATTTAATCAATGAAATAGTAAATAAGGATAATTTTGCTAATTTCATGAAGCAGCATAGTCCAAGTTTCACAAAGTAGGTCAGTTTTTACTCCCATAGTTATCAAAAAACTCCAAGAAATACAGGTAATTTTTAAACTGTATTATCAGGGCTCCATTATAATTGACCTTAAGACACTATATTCTTGAACACAAAAGGAATTGGGCAAATATATAAAATGATTTGTGAACAAATTTCTATAATTACTAATGTATAAATTCTTTCCAGATACTGTATTGGAAACTCAATTTTTCTTGCTAAAGGGCAAGCTAAAAATTAATTAATATTATTAGTTGAAAAAGAACTATATGTTCATGCTAATTTTGTAGATGATGATGAAGTGTAGCTAATTCTTTTAATTATAAAAAAGAAACTTTGTACTAGCTGAATGCAGGTTTATAATATAATGGCTATTCACTAGAAATGCATTGTACACACTGAAGTTCCTCCATCTAGTGACCAAACTTTCTGGAAGTTCTCATTGGTGAACTTGGATAATTCTTCATCTAAATCAGATTTAAGAAAATCTTTTACTTTTATTCGAAAGAGCCTCATATTAATCAGGAATATCAGACCATAAACCTGTTAAGCCGATGTGTTTGTAATGTGAAGTGACAATGCCATGAAAGTGGGCTCTGGGTGTTAGCCAAATGGTAATACTATGAGAACAATGGACATAAAATAATGAATATGTAATAAATACCTACTGCTGTAGTCTCTGTGTATTTAATTACCATTGTATTTGAGTGAGTGCTGTTGTCTGCATCCCTCTCGCTAACAAAGGAGGGATGTCCCTTTGAACAGATTGGTTAATGCTCTGGGGCAACAGATGTCTACTGGAACTGCAGGAGACCAGCAACTGGTGGCCTGCCCATCTTCGGAAAACTTTCAATAGACTTGTGCATATGTTCACACAATAGGGCATGTGGTAGAAATGAAAACCTCTTTTTAACCCTTTATGCTCTTTCTCTCCCTCCCAACTGGTAGATGCAAGTCTTTGTCTCTTCCTCCCTTCCCCTTTACAGAACTCTTGAAGAAAATAGTTCTTGGAATGACATCTTCAATCTAATGTCTGAAACTAAGGGGGGAAAAAAGATGAGAGTGAAGAAATTAGAAACTGTACATGAATACTGAGACTGCTGACAGAGCAACTGCATGCTTAATCATCACATCTAAAACAAGTTGAAACATCTACCGATATCAATCCATCTCCCCAAGCTAGACTTTTAAGACAATAGAAAGTTCTATCAAATCTTTTTTTATAGCACCTAGGTACGACAGTGACATCATAAGAAACTTAAGACTTTGACAAGATAAAATTTAAATTCACCATTGATCAAAAATATCGGAACATTATAATTCGACTTTAAGTTCCAAATGATTATATGTCATGCCTAATGCCTTATAAATGTTCATGAAGCTATAAGTAATTATTTACATAACTCTAGAATAGAAAAATGTAAAAAATCTGCTTTGCAGACATACTTTACAGAAAGAATTTAATTTTCTGGTATGTTGGCCACCATGTAATAATTTGTAGACTTTCATTTGAAGTGCTTTCTATCTTTTACAGAGTTCAAATTAATACTCTGAATATTTAGCAAAGTTTAACTTCCAAGGCATTAAAGTAGCACAGATACTCACGTTAGCAGGAAAATACAAAGACATTGGTTTCTGTAGCAGCTTCAGCAGTAAACTCCTTAACACAATTTTAGCTGCAGACTCCCAGGCAGGCAAGAAGAACAATGAATGGTTGAACAGATGGAATGGCAATGTCTTTGCTTAACCTATTACCGAGTGGAATAACAGCCAATCATAGGCCAGAAAGCTCACAATTAGTTGTCCGGGCAGATGCAAGACAACCTCAGCGCCCTGCGTCAGGTTCGTAGGTTTCTAAGATAAGCAAGTTGATGTCATTCGCAGGGTCTGCCCGGGGCAGCATGTGTATTAACAAGGGGTGTGCAGCAACAATAGACCATACAAAGCTGACTAGTAGGCAGCTGCTCTATGAGAGCAGAGTCATTAGGGAGCAGGCTGCCAACAAGAAACACCTGGCTTGGGCAGACTTCAGCTTTTCCTCCTTGCTTTTTAATGCATGAAACAAAGAAACCAATTATATTTTAAAGTAGTAAAAATTTCATGTTTTCAAAAAGTTGAGGCTATACCGTAGTCTATTAGCTTTTCGTTTTTATTAAAGAAAGAAAATGAAGTGTGTCAACATAGCAATTAACTATTGCAGTATTCCCTGTCTTTAATAAATGGTGAAATGAGATAGAAGTTTATAGTAAAACTATTTCCCTGGAAATAGTGACAAACCTGTATTTTCAAGTATTTGTTAATTTATTGCAACACACAAAAAACAAAAAGAACAGATGATGAAAATACGATTGCAAAAGGAAAACACTTAAGAGATTACAAATAGAACTGATTTTTAAAAATTCACTGAAAGTGTTGCATAGTAAGATGAAATACAAGTTCTGTCTAACTTTGTGCCAAATGAGTCACCTAAACTGGAGATTTAGACAGAAGTATTTAACTTCAACCTAAAATCATCAGAATAACCTATCCTATGTATGTCAAGTGTCAGTGTAAAATTTTTTTACTATGGATACTAGTTAACCATGTAATTAAAAAGAAGCGAAGTCTTTCATTATGTTTTTAACATACAACATATTATAACTGCTTAAAGTATTTGTATTTCATAAAGTTTGTAAGATATTAATACTCAAATTTCAGCTCAGGAACAAGTTAACATTATAAATACTGTGATTTTTTTTTGTAGTGTCTAAAGTATATAAAAATAAGCCCTGGTGGTGAGTAAACTTCTTATCCCTGATTTATTCGAAGTCTCAGACTGCAGCATTTATAATCCTGTGAACTACTTGCTTTTGTGGGCTGCATAAGTTATACCTTGAGTGGCCTCTGATTATAAACAAAAAAAAAATCAATCAAAATGTAAACACTATAAGGCATTGTAAAGATATTTCCCTACTAAAGAAAAAGGAAATCTATAGCTGTTCTACTATTTACTTATATGATGTAGAACACAAGCTTCTGCACGTTCCCTCTTCATTCCAGCGCAAATTAAAACTGTGAAGGCCAAGAGCTGCTCTTAACATACAATGTTCTGCTATAGGCTGATTTATGCAGAGCCTAGATTTTTATCATTATATGATCATGAATTCTAAAGATATAAAATGTACCCAAAACAATCAAAATCAATCTCCTTTTATACACAAATACAGAAGCTACACATAATTAGGATCATTTGTGAATAGTTGAAAAAAAGTAACACTGGTTTGGGACTCCTGGCCTTGTCCTTATTGTGCCTACTCAAATGCAAATGAGATCGTCTCTATTTACAAAATTAGAAGAACTACATGGCTAAGATTTTTCAGTTATCGCACTGAAAACACTCCTTCTGCCTACTAAAAATGTAAAATTATTGTTGTTTCCAGGAAGAAAACTAAAAGATAAAGTACCACATTACAGTTCATCATTTGTTTACAGATATTTCCTCAAGAGAGTTCCCATGTTTTATTGATGTATGCCATTCCAAAAATGGTAGAAAATTTAAAAATCAGTGAAAATATTTTTGAACTAAATATAATTATTAGGTTCTGAATTACAAACTAATTTCTAAAGTAGACTATTATTTCTTCCACCAAGGGTTATGGCAATCTTACTGAAATACTTAAGGCGATAGTCGAATTTCATAAACACATCAAGGATCAAGATAAAGCATCTCTAGCATTAAAGCTTATTGCAAATTACAGTGTGAATTACACAGAATTCAAATGTCACATCTTGGGTAAGCATATGGATGTCCCAAAATGAGGAAAGTTAGATTTTATTTTATTTTTTTTTTTGGTGGTGGTGATAGTTCTTGAAATCTCATGAGTAAAAAAGGTATCAGCCCTGAAAGGAAAAAGAGAAATCAAGGCCACTGTTATGGTAAAAAATGTAATTCTTCTGGTAAAACTGGGATTGAGTAGGATACTTATGAAAAACGCAACATACATCCATACAAAGTAGTTACAACTGAAACCAAATAAAACTTAATAGTTGTGCACTGATTAGAAGAGACAGTGAGGTCAGTATTTATGAATTCATATTAGAAACTCTTTCTTTTGTATATATCAAGGAAACTACTTAGTATGAATAGACAGTCTTCTCTTTTCTCTGGGGTTTTCTTCCTTCTCTTTATCCCTCGCTACTATAGTTACTACTTTATAGCTTTAATTTAGGAGGAGGAGGATTCTGCTCACTAATGCCTGCCACTGTGAACACAAAGAATGAGAGAAACTACCCCAGGGCTCAGCAGGAAGCCTGATCTCTAGCACTGGATTAAGGTTTTTTGCAAACAGCAAATAAAGGCAGTGATCTGAAAAAGCTAATCAGATCCTGCTGCAGTATTTAGACTATCTCAGTTGCTAGTATTGGATAATGTTAAGCACATTAAAACATCTGTAGGTGAAAAGACAGCCCACAGTCTGGCTTTCTTAGTCACATGGCCCTAGTCCACTTTCCACTGCAGGGCAATACAAACAGCTGGACTGGGCTCTGTTTGGGTCACTGCAATAAATGACTGAGCACAATGAACACTTATGACAGAAAAAAAAAAGTGTAGTTTTAGGAGTATTATACTAAAATCTGTCTATGCCAAGGGTGGCTCTAATATTTGAAACTTCAACCATTTGAGAGGGGCTTGTACTTTTTCTGAGTTACAAATGTGAAACAAGTAAGCTCTGAGGCAGGGGTATGGCACCAATTATCTTTGCCACTGTTACGTGATCTGAGTCCACTTCCTGGGACCACTTTCATAATATGGACCTTGCTCTTCTTTAATATATAATCTCTCTCTCTCTATTTCTGTTTTTTGAGGCAGAGTCTCGCTCTGTCACTCACACTGGAGTGCAGTGGCACAATCTCGGCTCACTGCAACCTCCACCTCCCAGCTTCAAGGGATTCTCATGCTTCAGCTTCCCCATCATGCCCAGTTAATTTTTGTATTTTTTTTTTTAGTAGAGATGGGGTTTCACCATGTTGCCCAGGCTGGTTTCAAACTCCTGGCCTCAGGTGATTTGCCCACCTCGGCCTCCCAAAGTGCTGGGATTACAGGCATGAACCATCACAAATGGCCTATAATCTCTTTTGATCCTAATGAGAACACCATGGAAGTAAGATTATATCAAATTTTCCCAATTGTCCCCAAAACATTGAAATTAAAATTTTAACCAAAAACTATTATTTTTGAGAAAAGAACTATTTATTATTTTTTAAAAAAAGAACAAACCAATGAACAAAAACAAAAAGCTAATTCATACACATACTGTAAAAGAATGGAGTAAAATCAAATGGGCATTAACTGTAGTATCTGAGTTATATTTAGGATGTTACATGGAACGTGAGATCTCTTATAGAAAATGACTCTTGAAAAATGCTATTTGAAAAGTATTAAAAACTAACTTTAAACCACAAAATATTGCTAAGAATATTGCCTGAATTAAAGACAAATAAATTTGTTTTTTTGAGGTTGCTATAGATCTGGAGAGCACTAGTTAACAGAATATCATAGGGTCAAATGTATTAAGAACCTGATAAACATCTGAGACATGCCAATTCCAGAAAGTACTGTTGAAAGCGTTAGACATTCTCCTAATTCCTTTCCATCCATGAAAACCACGACACTTTTCAGAGAGGAGGCAGACACTCAAAGTCCCGACATTAGCCTACATTTGACACCAGGCCTGAATACAATCCACCCAAAGTAACTTCAGGAAAAATGTACCTTTATACTTAACATTAACTGGAAGAAAAAAAATCTCAACTGTAATCAGGATCATATGTTTAAAATAAATCAAATATAAATGACTTTATATAAAATAAAGCTCATAAATGGAAAAATATTAATATTGAGTAGAAAAAGTACATTAATGTGTTAACATTAATCACAGGACTAGAATTGGGGGCTGAGGACAAGGTAGATTAAAATTATCACCATGATATAGTTTCCTCTAGATCCATTAAGTAAACTGTTGGTATTTTAATAATAAGAAAGAAAACTAGCTGGGTGTGGTGGCTCACACCTACAATTCTAGCACTTTAGGAGGCCGAGGCAGGACTGCTTAAACCCAGGAGTTAAAGACCAGCCTGGGCAACATAGGAAGATCCTGTATCCCAAAAATAAAATATAAGAAATTACCCAGGCATAGTGGCACATGCCTGTAGTTCCAGCTACATGGAAGCCTGAGGCAGGAGGATCACTTGAGCCAGGAGTTCAAGGCTGCAGTGAACTGTGACTGTACTACTGCCCTCCAACCTGGGCAACAGAGTGAGGCATCATGTCAAAAAAAAAAAAAAAAAAAAAGAGAAGAAAACAACTACTTTTCCTACCCATATCCTAAAATAAACTGTATCAGAAGTCATATATTTTCTGTAAGTTGTATTTGCTCCTAAAAAATACTAAGCAATTATCAATAGGTAAATAAGAGTCCAAAGGGAAAAAGAATAAGGTATAATAGATGCATGTCAATTTTCTTTTCTTCACTAGCAAGGAAAACAGGCCTTTAAAAAAAGGGCTTGGGACAGTTACTGAAAGAACACGAAGGAGCTCTCAGGGTCAGAGGGAGAACTCAACATTCAAGGTCAGAGACAGGACTGACCCCGGGCTTCAGTGGCAGAGCTTCTGCCTATTGCTAACTGATGATTCAGCACTATGTTCTCTGACCTTGTGTTCTCCATTCAGGGTTCAAATTCCTGAGACAGAGAATCTGATGAACACAGTTGAAGTCACATACTCACCCCCTTACCCAACTACTGTGGCCAGATGTATGCGGGGCTATGATTGGCTGCCCTGTGAGACCTTAAGGAAACGGGGGTGGGGTGGGTGCATTCCTTAGGTGGGGTGATATTAACAGAAGCAGAGGGGGAAAATGCTAGGCGGATAGAACATCAGGCACCCAGTACGGAAGGACATTAAACACATTAGAGAGACCGGGCATGGTGGCTCACGCCTGTAATCCCAGCACTTTGGGAGGCCACGGCGGCTGGATCACTTGAGGTCGGGAGTTCAAGACCAGCCTGGCCAACATGGTGAAACCCTGTCTCTACTAAAAATACAAAAAAAATTAGCCGGGCGTGGTAGCTGTAAGGTGTGACCACGCTGTGGAATGGACAGCAAGGTGACCCCCATGAACTGCACATACACCTCTGGGGGGCCTTCTGGAATTAGGAAACCTTAACTAGCTTCTTCTCCAATAAAACACCAAATGGCGGATGACGCTGGTGCAGTGGGTGGGGGGGCAGGGAGGGATGCCCTGGGACGGGGAACCGCGGTGGCTTCCACGGAGGTTTCAGCAGTGGCATCTGGGATTGGGGTCGAGGCCGAGGCAGCAGAGCTCGCAGAGGCAAAGCCGAGAATAAGGAGTGGATGCCTGTCACCAAGTTGGGCCCCCTGGTCAAAGACATGAAGATCAAGTCTCTGGAGGAGATCTATCTCTTCTCTCCACCCATCAAGGAATCTGAGATCATTGACTTTTTCCTGGGGGTCTCGCTCAAGGATGAGGTTTTGAAGATTATGCCGGTGCAGAAGCAGACCCGTGCTGGCCAGCGCACCAGGTTCAAGGCGTTTGTTGCTATTGGGGACTACAATGGTTACGTCGGTCTGGGTGTTAAGTGTTCCAAGGAGGTGGCCACTGCCATCCGTGGGGCCATCATCCTGGCCAAGCTCTCCATCGTCCCCGTGCGCAGAGGCTACTGGGGGAACAAGATCGGCAAGCCCCACACAGTCCCTTGCAAGGTGACAGGCCGCTGTGGCTCTGTACTGGTGAGCCTCATCCCCAGACCCAGGGCACTGGCATCGTCTCAGCACCTGTGCCCAAGAAGCTGTTCATGATGGCTGGTATCGATGACTGCTACACCTCAGGTAGGGCTGCATTGCCACCTTGGGCAACTTCGCCAAGGCCACCTTTGATGCCATCTCTAAGACTTACAGCTACCTGAGCCCTGATCTCTGGAAGAAGACTGTATTCACCAAGTCTCCCTATCAGGAATTCACTGACCACCTCGTCAAGACCCACACCAGAGTCTCTGTGCAGAGGACCCAAGCTCCAGCTGTGGCTACAACATGGGGTTTTTATACAAAAAAAATAAAGTGAATTAACATTGCAAAAAAAAAACCCCTTAAGTAGCTGGAAGGAAGAATGATCAACCTGGGGTGCCTAACTAACCTGAGACATTTTTCTATTGTTTCTTATTTTGGTCTCAACTGACAAGGCCATTGGACTGTGTAACTGACCTTGGTCCAACCTTCTGGACTCCACACCCTATGACCCCCTCCCAGCTTGCAAAAACCCACCAACTGTAACTTCTGTAACTTTCCACTGTTCACCCCAAACCTATAAAACTAACTCCTATCTGACCCCCGTCTTTCGCTGACACCCTTTTGGCCTCAGTCTACCTGGACAGCTACGCTGCTCACACAAAGCCTGTTTTGCGGGGTGGGGTGGGGGGGGTCTCTTCATTCAGAGCGCACATTTTAACACGTGCCACTGTACTCCAGCCTGGACGACATAGCGAGACTCTGTCTCAAAACAAAAAACCCAAACACATACATTAGAGAGAGATTCTGTATGGTTCCCATAAAATTCATCAAAATGACTTTGAAAAGAGGAAGTAGAAATGGAATAAACGTATCACTCTTGGAGAACATATGCATTGGTTGGCTTCCGTTTTCACATCTGTGAGCAACAGTGTATCTCATTCCCAATTTCCCTGAAGGGTAGCTATCATTGTTGCAACAGTGCATTCTTACAACCTCATAGACACCTTTGTCTATTTTGCAATTGTTTCATCCATTTAATATATACTGAAGATCCAGTTAATCAATTCTGGATTATTTTTCTCTTCTCAATTTTCTCATTCCCATGGCCATAAGCATCCCCTAGGCTAAGCATTTATTCTCTCGGGCTTAGATTACTTTTGTTTCTTAATTTATCTCCTTCCTTGAACATCCCTTAGGTACCTCCCTGCCAAAGTAATTTTCAATGACATCACTCTTCTGCTTAAGAAAAAAAAATCTCAGCTGCAAATCACAAGTCTCTGGTCCTCTGATTTGTTTTGTTTTTGAGGCTCTGTCTATACACTAGGCCTCCTCTGGTCCTGTCCCACTTAAAGTGAAGGGACAGCAAAAGTGAGGGCACAGATGTCTCTCTCTTTTTTTTTTTTTAATTACTTTAAAATTTCTTTTTTTTTAATTGCATTTTAGGTTTTGGGATACATGTGCAGAACATGCAAGACAGTTGCATAGGTACACACATGGCAGTGTGTTTTGCTGCCTTCCTCCCCTTCACCCACATTTGGCATTTTTCCCCCAGCTCCCCCCCTGGCTGTCCCTCCCCTATTCCCCCCAGTAGACCCCAGTGTTTAGTACTCCCCTCCCTGTGTCCATGTGTTCTCATTTTTCATCACCCGCCTATGAGTGAGAATATGCGGTATTTCATTTTCTGTTCTTGTGTCAGTTTGCTGAGAATGATGTTCTCCAGATTCATCCATGTCCCTACAAATGACACGAACTCATCATTTTTTGATTGCTGCATAATATTCCATGGTGTATATGTGCCACATTTTCCCAATCCAGTCTATCATCGATGGGCATTTGGGTTGGTTCCAGGTCTTTGCTATTGTAAACAGTGCTGCAGTGAACATTCGTGTGCATGTGTCCTTATAGTAGAACAATTTATAGTCTCTTTGCCTTAAGTGTTGTCTTGCACTATTGCCTCACCTATCCAGATCAAATCTATTGTTCTAAGCCCAGCTCAAGGCTTATTTTTTCCATAAAACCTTCTTGCACTAGTTGAGTTTTTATTGCTTTCCAACTCCTTCGAACTTCTATAACTTAAACAGTCTGCACAGTACAATTTAGCACTTATTTGTGAACCAGGATATAGGCTTCTTGAGAGCAGAACCATTCTCTCTCCCATAATCTACATAGTACAACCAATACAGCATGCAGCAGTGTGCTGATCTCCAGAAGAGCCTCAAGTGAAAAATCGATCGGCAAAGAAATAGGCCCCTGGAAATTTGAAGGCAGGCATTCACACGAGCAAAAATCCTGCTCTGCTAGTCTTTATTTCTCTCTGTGACACGGTGATTTTATCAAAGAGACTGCGGCTATGGGCAAAGTTCCTATAGCCCTGATACTGCCGCTGGGGCTGCTTCCAACATTCACAGAAGCGCAAGCCTCCCAGTGATGATAGGTCTTTTCCTGAAGTCTCCTTTGGATTAGCTTCCCAAACAGAGCTGCATCTGCAGAAGTTCCACTGCAGCTTGTGCCTTCCCACTTGAGGACGACTTATTTGATGGGTAAGTCTGTGAGGACCAAGCCCTTTCAACTGCACATTTCTCTTTGTGATCTGCCCACAAGCAGAGAATACTTGGGTGCTCTGCTCTCCAGCATGGCCTGGGACTGGATGGTTAAATCTTTCTAATTCTGGGGTTCAGTGTTGCTAAGCCGTTTATGCTGTTCTCTTAAATCACATTCTCTCCAATAGTTCTATGGATGGAAAGAGCTGCTACCTTGATCTCCATCTGCTTGGCTCCTTTGTCTGGGGTTGAGAAACAAGGCAGAAAGAAAGACCTCTCAAACTCTAACAATAATCAACAGTAAAAAGAGTTTTGTTATAAATAACTAATAAGGAAAGTAAAGGGTAACAAAAACTATATAAATTAACTCTCATCAGACCACTTGTCTAACACATATGAAAGGATTAAGTTCAAAAAAGAAAAGAAAAAAATTCAATAACAAGAAAGATAATGTTCCTCAAAGTGAAAATTCTTAAGGTTTATGAAAATCTTTCAGTACCAAGTCATCAAGAGTAGGCAACCCTCAATTCTGTTTAGGAATCAGAGACAAATACAAAATAAATCCATGAAAACAGGATTCCTTTCCAGGGTCTAAAGACAAAGAAACTCTTCTACATTCATTTAAAATGACAGGATAACCCCTATCTCGAGACTTCATCCAAATATTTCCCAATGAGCAGTTTCCCATTTAGTGTTTTTAAAAAAATTTCTTAAGCAAATAGCTCTTAAGAAAGATCATCTTCAATTCCTACTAAACCTGTAAATACTCATGGAATGAGGAATTTTAGAAAAGTACAAGGAATGCAAATGACATCCAAAGTGCTGCTGTAATAGGTTCTAAGGCAGCCAGTGTACGGGAAGAGAAAACTCGTGAGCCACAAAGGACATTCCGTAGTTCCCCATTATCTGCATCTCTCTTTCCTCAGTTTCAGTTACCCACAGTCAACTGTGGTCTGAAAATATTAAATGTAAAAGTCCAGAAATAAACAATAAATTAATACATTTTTAACTGTGTGCTGTTCTCATTAACATGAGAAAATCTACTGCCCGTTTGCTCTGTGCCACCCTGGATGTGAATTATCCCTTTGTCCAATGTATTCATGCTGTCAGTCCTACCTGCCTGTTAGCTGGCTTGAGTAGAAGTGAAACAACATATTATAGATACTCCTTGACTTGGGGTTATGTCCTGACAAACCTATCTTAGATTGAAAATATAGCTTAGCCTGGCCCACCTTAAATGTGCTCAGAACATTAACATTAGCTTGCACCTGGACAACACCATCTAACACAAAGCCTAATTTATAATAAAGGGTTGATTAGCTCATGTAATTTATCATACTGAAAGTGAAAAACACTTGAATGGTATCTGTGTACTTGAAATAGAGTTTCTAGCAAGTGTATACGGCTTTCGCACCATCATGAAGTTGAAAATCTTAAGGTGAGCCACCATAAATTGGGAACGATTTGTATGTATATGTATGCCACAGTTACAGGTGTCCACTGTGGGTCTTGGAATGTATCCGTCAAGGAAAAGGGGGGACTACTATGTATGATTCTTGTTTTCAAAGCAGAAGGCACATGATTATCATTCATGTTAACAAAATACAATCATGGTTATATTAAGTATAATTGAAATTGTCAGAAAAAGATGACCAAATATGTGTAATTTTATACAAAATAAATGCATATATAAGACATCTTGAAATTATAAAATAACTGATAGTAGTTACATGACACTGTATCTCTTCCGATCTCACCATCGAAGCCTGGTCAGCCCTCATCTCATCTCTCCTTCGGATGCCACTCTCTCTGACATCCTCAGCCACCACCTGGTATGTGCTGCTCATCTGCAGACATCGTATTTTTAGGCTGCTTGTACCAAATGAGGATGCGTGCATGTCTTGTTCTTCTTTCAGTGTTAAATAATTTACTTAGGAAACTAATTAAAAACTGATTGACCAAAGCATTGTTAAAAAGTGAAATGGACTACATATGTAGCCTATATGTAGATAGACTACAAAGAATAATTGCATCAGAATTAAAAGAGGATTATGCGTTTAGGTCTGTTTTTACTCCGAGTGTAAAAGAGTGTGTAACAACATATTACATGCTTGTACAGGAATTCAGGAAAAG